CAACAAGTATATGATGATTTCATTTGCATCAAAACACGTACAGACTTTATCAGCTAATCTATACAATCCTATTCAACCGTCATTTTTCAAGAACTACTCAAAACGTACCTTTAGTACGTCGTAACGTTTAGTTACGACTTTTAGTATTTTCGTTATATACATATACAGATGTTCCTATTTTGTTGTTATGTTCATTCCTGTCCTGCCATTTCCACATTGGTTTGGTATTACGTATCAGCGTGTTTCTAACAGTTGATGCTAGATTTTGCAACGACTATGTCAGTAAATATGCAAACTGTAGGTTTGTATGATCAAGGAAAAAGAGGAAGTGTTCCCTCTCACAGCTGCTTGACAAAGAGAAACACAACTACAACTTCTGTAATAAGACTTACAAGAGTAATAATTTCCTTACGCCCAGTTTCAAGCTGAGGTGTGACTTCTAACGGAGATACTGAACTCCACACTGTCATTTTTCATAAAATAAATCATCCTAAATCTTCCATTTTACCTGAGCAAATGCAAAACAGAAACTTGAGTGATTCACCTGAAGTAATTAACCTTAGGTATCTTATTTTTCCCTCCCTCCCTCCCCGGGCCAGCCTTACATGGATGCTGTGACGCTCTCTGATGGAGGAACGGAGGAGGCAGGACACCACACAGCAGACGTCCAGGAGCGGCATGCAGCAGCACCAGCCATGGTCAGCGGCTGTCTGACACTGCATGCAGGGGAAGCACCAAAGGCCGCAGCAACCTCCAGAGAGAAAATAATGTGTAAAAATCAGCTGTACAGAATATTCTGTTGAAATAACAGAATATATAGCCCAGAATTCCCCAATATGCCATCAATTGACATATTGTTGTACCTTAGTAGGGGAAGTCTACATAGTTCTTTTTGGTTGTAACCAACCAAGTAAAAGCATTTTACCCAGGTATCGTTTGCGTGTGGGAAACACTGGTACGAGATATAAATTACTTTTTGTCACCGTTATTGAAATAAATCCAGATTAGCTTCGGTTTTTCTACATAATGTTGCTCTAGTCTAAACCAATACTGTTTCTGCATCAGTGGGGAAACTATTTAATGTCAGATAATGATGTGTTTGCTGGATTGACTTACAGGTGCCCATATCACTACAGCAATCACAGATTCCGGTGCTCCATGTCCCCGGACCATGGGTTGTGGTGGTCTGGACCACGACCTGGGTCGGCTGCTGGTAGACGGCCATGTCTGGAGGATACAGGACAAAAATGGAGGAACTAAGCGCCATCAATTGACATATTGTTGTACCTTAGTAGGGGAAGTCTACATAGTTCTTTTTTGGTCCACACACAACTTGTAACACCTGTTTTCACGGCTAAATCTTCTTTGGCAATCATCAAAAAGAAAACAATATAAGAGAGGGATTCTGAATGCTTCTTTAGCCGCACTCCTTTGAATACAGTTTTTTTTTCAAATAACTCAAAACACAACTGAAACTTAACTTTTTAACACACGACTAGGCTACACTTCAACTTGATGTTGAGGTGTTATATTCACTTCATATTTCACATGTGAAGTCATATTCTGAGTAATTATGCCAGGTGCAGCAGAGTCTTCAAAGTGCATTCAAATAGTTTATTCATCATAATTACTGAGTTATATCCCGTAGTTAAAGTATTGTGACAAGTTGGTCAACCTTTAAGTTCACACACAGATGAATTCAAGCTGGGGAAATATCAATTCAATTAGTTAGGTATTATCACTACTATTATTATTTTTAACTGTTCGCACCATGTAATCATATTAAGCAATAAAGACACAACAAAGACCGTAGTTTGTGAATTTCTTGAGCAATATGGACCTTTGCACCGACGATACTGAAAGCTAAACATGTTAATGAAGAGGTCATGTGAGCTAGCTTCAACATTTAGCTTCAAGTCCACTTGATCTTAAAAATCTTTAAATTCATGGTATAAGGCGTTTATATTATTTAATTAAGATGTTGTCGTTGTTTTCATAATTGCAATAATAGGATAACATCATTAAATGTCCCTGTTGAAATTATCATTAAAAAAATGTGCAAAAACGTGTGTGTGGTCTAGTTTTAGAGGTAAGAGATTAAACGACTTTGACAGAAACTTCATTTTTTAGAATATATTTATACATTTTTTCTTTTGTAACGTGATGAACATTAATGATTAACATGCAAAGTGTAGCTGAGTAACAGAAGAACACGTTTTATATTCTCTCATATTCAGTTTTTCTGCTCATTTCACTGTTAACATAATTATCTACCATTAACGAAACCCACGAGGCCAGCAGAAAAAAAACCATCAAGTAGTCTAATTAGTTCTATCAAAGTAAGAGCCTCAACATCAGCCTTTCACATTTAGCCGAATATAAAAGCATTTTCTTACCTTTTCTCTGGTTTCGTGAGCTCTGAAAAAGATTTCAGGTTAGTGCAGCACTGGATGCTCGTTTGAGGAGGGAGGAGGAAAGGTTAAGTTTTCTTTCTCAGTAAAGCCTGCCCCCATCCTGTTTTCAGAATAAATACATTCATACACTTTCACTTTTAGAGCACACACAAAAATGATATCTAATGCATGGACAATTACTCGTGTTAAGAAAATTATAAAAGACAATAATAGGCTCCTAATATTTACAGTCTGTGGTAGGCTCTTAATATTTACAGTCTATGGCTCCTAATATTTATAGTTTATGGTAGGCTCCTAATATTTACAGTCTATGGCTCCTAATATTTATAGTTTATGGTAGGCTCCTAATATTTACAGTCTATGGCTCCTAATATTTACAGTCTGTGGTAGGCTCCTAATATTTACAATCTGTGGTAGGCCCCTAATATTTACAATCTGTGGTAGGCTCCTAATATTTACAGTCTATGGCTCCTAATATTTACAATCTGTGGTAGGCTCCTAATATTTACAGTCTATGGCTCCTAATATTTACAATCTGTGGTAGGCTACTAATATTTACAGTCTGTGGTAGGCTCCAGGAAGCATGATGCATTCACGTGCTGTCGGACTTCAGCAAATCATTTTACAATTAAAATTAGGCCTTTGAGTCTTTCCTTATTTATTTTCTTATTTATTTTTATTTTGAATATGAACAGCTTGTATTAAAGACCCCCGTTAATTACCACAAAGTTGTTTTTAACAGAACACACACACAGATATTCATCTGTTATAGCCTACTTGTTGTAATACCTTGTAGGCCCATAATAAACTTTTTTTTTAAATATACTTTTTACCATGTTGCATGTGACTCAGTGTCTATCAGAGCCTTGTGATAATAAAAGAAGCTCAATAATGACTAGCTTAAATTTGAGATAGCCTCTTTTAATCAAGTTAATAAATTGTTAAAATTGGTTAACCTGGCCGTAGTTTTACTTGCTATTGGACCAAAAAGCATGCTAACTGTTAGTCTAGCTTAAAGGAGGGTTTATTTCACATACATGGAATGTGACTACAGATCATATTTGCAATGTGTATTATCGTAGAGGATTGTTATTTTACAGTTTAACATCGAGGCTACTACACAGTTAATACTCATATTTTCAAAAAGGGAAATACATTGCAATATTAAGATACTTATAAAATTATCTAAATGGCCAACAGGGCACAGCCTATCTGTTCTCAGGTGTGCACGGCTGCAGGAACATACCATGAAAAATAAATCATAAATTTGTGGCACACAGAAAATAACTTCACTGTATTTTATTGTGACAGGCGATGTAATTGGCCTGTTGCTTTCTCAGGTTTTTTTAAATTTGGTTTAGCTTCCATGGATTTATGATTTATTTTTCATACTTTTTTTATTCTAAATTATTAATTAAATTATTAAATTAATATCTAAATTATTCTAATTTCTTAAAAAAAAAAAAGGTCAGGGGAAACGGAAGAGTGAGAGTTTCTTGAGACTATAAACAAGTGTTGTCTGGATGCATAGACAAACTGGGCATGCCTAGTTCGGCCTGATGATGGCACCAGAGGAAAGCAAAAAGACACTGTTGCATTATCAGCTGGCTTCTCATCTCCACACTCCAGTACTGAAACTTCAACTTATTACAGCTACAAGCTGAGGACAAATAGAGGCGTCGGCTTTGATCAGGGTGTCTTTATCATAAAATCTGTCCATATTACCCAAAATAAAAGGTTAAGTATTTCTCTGTGTACAATTTTAGTGAAAACTCAGACATTTTCACACATGGCTCAGTTTTCACTCTTATAAGGTCACATTATTTTCTGGTACATATGGGGGAAAAATATAGTCTTTGATGAACTCTTTTCAGATTGTTATCTGATCTAACTATGGTATTTTTTTTATCTTATTATCTTTGACTGATTGATGTGATTGAATCATTTGTACACTGGGTGGTGATGAACTGAGAGTACAGCACTTTTTGTGGCATTTGGGGACCATCATATAGAGGGATATTAACATAGAATGCACTGGTATAAATCAGACCCATATCTAAGTAGAAGTAACAAAACTCTGCAAGTTAAAGTCCAACAATCAGAAGTTTCCTGAAGTAAATGTGTAAAAGTATTCTGTACTTCAAAAGTCAGTCATTTAGTCCTTTACAGTGTTTGACTTGTATACATCATGTTTCTTCTGCTTTTACTGCTAAAGAAAGGGAAAGTTTGAGCCAATTTCACTACCTCAACAATCAATATTCAATATAGTGACGCATTATATGATATAGTGTTTCTGTCCTGCAAAATGTATATCTCTAAAAAGTAATCCTTCTCGATCTCAGACACATGTAGAGAAAAAAAGCTTTGTTGCATATTCATTACCAACCAAGAAAGATTATTAACCACATAAAGGAACACTTCGTCCTCAAACGCGGAAAAAAAAACCCCGACGCAAACAAGACAAAACATCAAGACATTAAGCAGTTGTGTGTGTGTGTGTGTGTGTGTGTGTGTGTGTGTGTGTGTGTGTGTGTGTGCGTGAGAGAGAGAGAGAGAGAGAGAGAGAGAGAAGTCTTGATCGTATTGAGTCAGACCTCAGTCTTCACTGAGGCAGCAGTGAGAGAGGACAATGCGGCGCGCAAACTTCATCACATCACATCACACACACCATCCTCTTCATACTCGTCGTCCTCATCATTCTCTAAATCCAACGGAGCCCAGCTGAGGAAGAATGTCAGCCAACAACACCGCGTTGTCCACAGAAGCAAGGGACTACACCTGCGTGCGTTTCTACGTCTCCACCGTGTCCTTCTCGGTGCTGCTCATCTTCAACCTCATCATCAACTGGACCATCGTGCGCGTGGAGCAGCTGCGGAGCCACGCGCGCTTCGTGCTGGTTTTCCACCTGCTCGTGTCCGCCCTGGTCCACATGGGCATGAGCAGCATCTTCTTCTACCAGATCCACCTGAACGCGCGCCCGGGCCGCCCCGCGTGTCTGGCCATGATCACAGTCCTGATCAGCAGCGCGTCGAACATCCTCCTGACGCTCACGGCCATGGCTCTGGATAGATACTGCGCCGTGTGCCACCCAATGCGCTACACCTCGAAGTGCACCTCGGCGCACTGGCCCTGGCTGCTGGGCGTCCTCACCTGGATCGTGGCTCTGATCATCCCTCTAAGCATCCTCCACCCGGACTCCCAGGTGCGCTATAATGGAGAGTGCGGCCTGGAGCAGCAGAGGAAAGGTGGGCTACAAAAGATACTCTTCATCGCTTTGTGCACGCTGCTCATCCTGTACAGCTACGTGAGGATTTTCGTGGAAGGACGGAGGTTAGGGGTGCTCAACCGGCGCAACCGAACCGGCTGCAGGACAATCGCTCTGCATGGGAGCCAACTTGCGGTTTACATCCTCCCAAACTTTGTAAGCTTCATTCTGACAAGGATGAGCAAACAGGACCTCATTAAACCGGAGACTAAAGAGCTGTCCGCCGTGGTTGTCTTCGCTTTCTTCAGCTTGGCGCAGTGTGTTGCGCCGGTTGTTTACGGTTTGCGCAAAGAGGAACTCCTGGAGCAATTGGGTCACAGGTTCCCTTGCTGTGCCCGGTACTTCAAGAGCGTCCTCGGCTGGACTGTGCACGTCAACTGGACAAACAGACGGCAAAAATCACGGTACGTCCCTGTGGATGCAGACATTACAATTCTTCTTTTTTTTTATAATAGGGATTTGTTTTAAAACTCGAGGGGGGGGGGGGGGGGGGAACTGGGCCCCTTGTGATCTGGTTGGCCACCCCAGGTATTGCCACAAAATTCTAAAATGTGATTGGCTTTTGTGGCATTGTGATGACACATTATTTCACAAGAAAACTGTGAGTACTTTTTTTTAGTAGTAGTGAAGTAACACCTGCATAATAACTTTATGCTTGTAGGTAATGAAAAATAGGAGGAAACTGCAGTGTGTACCGCATACTCATATTACTAGAATCAATTGTACCCAAATTGCCGATTCTTATTTCAAGCAAAGTAAACTCATAGTAGGAAAGCAATTTATGAATGCTCGCGAGTTTCTCTGTTACGAATTAGTCATGAACCAGGTGCATGGTTTTTATCAATACTGAATGAATAAAACCATCAACTATTTAAAACAGAAAAGGGTTGATAAAAATGTGATACAAAGCCATTGAGTTAATTAGAAATTGAATATAAAACTAGTGATTGAAACGACCACATCAGACTTAAACAATATCATGTGAAGTAACACTGAACACTGTGTGGAGAATTTATTATCACCCAGCTCATTTAAAACAAGGGTGTTAGGCTTTTAACTTTTTACAACACACAATAAACAAAGAGTCAAAGGAGACGACATAACTCATTTCTAACTTGTGCCTATTAACTTTTATGGCTAGTTCTAGATTAACTGAAGGAATAGTTAGAGATGTTTACAATTAACTCATTTACTTTTATGCTGCAGGTCAGTTTATTATTTGATATAATCTTTAGGTCCATGCAGTAAATATGACCCTAAAAGCAACCATTAGCTTAGCATAAAATAAACAGCCAGCAGTCTGTACAAAGGTAACTAAACACATTCACCAGCACTGAGAAAGCTCACTCATTAATACATTACATCTCATTAATCTTCACTAGGACTGACTCCCTGTTCACACACCACGGGAAACACAGTGTCACATCTAAATTGGCCTGACTTTTGCTAAAAAATGCTAAACATTTTATAACCAGAAGAATATTATAAAAAAATGGCAAAGAAGGCCGGAATCCATGGGGGCGGGTGTCTATAGTCTAATTGAGTATTGCAGTTAGACTATATAAAAGTGTTCTCTATTAAACCACAGCTAATCTTAAAAATAAGATCCTTTTTATTTTTAAGGTTTTTTTTTCCGGTCATAACAGCTCTTTCCCCACACTTCTATAAAGGGTGCAGATTATTTTATGTTTTTTGTTTCGCTTTTTCCTTCAGGGAACGAACTCTGACAGCCCAGACCATCATCTCTCTGGAGGTCCCGCAAGGCTCGGAGGACGAGGAGGAAACTAGACGAATGTCAGGAGTTCCCCATGAGATGGACACGTCTGAGTGATATGGAAAATGCCTGATGTGAAAAAGCATCATCAGGATCCCGTCAGTCACAGGACCACTAAAATTTGTGTTCTCAGCTGAGGCCTTGAGGAACTGAAAGAGCCTTGTTGGAATTTATTATCCACTTCTACAAGTTTTGTCCTCACCAGAG